GGAGTATAAGTGTGTTAACCCCTCGTTCCATGTGTCCCTTCTCAGGCCGGTGGTAGCGGGCCCACTCCAAGACGATGAGATCTTGGAGACTCCTCCGCCCCCGTTGGACATCGAGGGGGCACCAGCGTACTCCGTGAGATCCATCTTGGATTCGAGACGTCGGATGGGGGGTCTCCAGTATCTAGTGGAGTGGGAGGGGTACGGTCCGGAGGAGCGGTGCTGGGTGCCGAGGAGAGACGTGTTGGACCCATCGCTTCTGACGGAGTTCCATCGGAGGCATCCGACGCGCCCTGCGCCGCGTCCCCCTGGCCGTCCCCGAGGCCGGAGTCGGCGCGCGTCTGGAGCCGCGCGTCAAGGGGGGGGTACTGTCACGGTTTCGGCCGAGGCTGCCTCTCCTCCTTGTTCGGGCAGGCTTCGGCGCTCGTCGTCTCCGGAATTCTAGCTGCCACCGATAGATGTTTCATGTTCGTTTGCTTTTGTCTGTTTGTGTCACACCTGTTTCTGTTTTACGTGATTAGTGTCCTATAAGTTTCTCGTTGTGTTTGTCATGTGTTGTGTATGATTGTTTTTCGTCAGTGTTGTGTTTGCTCGGTTGAGCATATTCTCTCCACTGCGCTGGAGCTCGATTGCACTTGTTTCGTGCACTACTTCATTTTGTCGCACCTGTTTGTGCGCATTTTGCCTATACGCCTTGTGCGTAGTTTAGCTGTTGGGCTTAGTTGCCCTGTTGCCTGTGTTTGGGCCGGAATACAGCATTTGGAACCTACCGTCTGCGTCCTGCATCTGATTTCCTACACTACACCTACACACGCCCTGACAATAGGTAGTTGGCTGCAAAGTGATAGCAACATTGTAACTCTACGATGCAGGGGTTAAAGTAAAATTCCCTTCTGCCTGGTAAGGGACCTCCTAAATTATATGTGCACACGTGCACCAACATTTTTATGGGCATAATCATAGAATTACATATATAATTGGAGCCTATTTCTTCCTATTCCAAAAAATAAGTGGTAAGCCTACCTGTTTGACAGATACAATTATGCTATCCATAGATGTCGGTATAGCTAAATACTCCAATACTGTCGCATGCACTGATTAAATACCTTGGTGGCTGGGAAGGGCTTGGTGTGTTTGGTTAAAACCAGGGCTCAAATTGCCTTTGTTAAAGAAAAGGGCAAAAAGGATATATACTGTTCGCTTTATATTTTGAAAGAAATGCATAAAACGTATCCAAATTATATCAAGCGTTCTATAAGGATGCTTAACTCGGTGATGCCTTGTAGAAACAAGCTCTAAAATGCCTGTGAAAGACGTGACTCCGATGCATGTGGGGATATATTGATTCCTCTCTATGACATTCTGATGCTGAGCTGCAGCCTATAATATTCCGAGGAGATTTAAAAAAATGGACTTTGCTATTCTATCCCTATTAATTGAGCTTTTCCCTATCTGAAAAGAGAAGATGTTTGTTTAAACCCAGGCAGCTTTTAGGGAAGCACTTCTGTTGTTGGGTTATACAACCGATGAGTAGCCAGCAGTTGAAGATTACATTTTTCTGCTTACATTTTTCTGCATTGGTAGAGCCTCTGTCTGGGTAGAAAGGTAACTTTTGAAAGTGCCATGCTTAGATTCATAAGGATGTCTATGATGTAATTATTTGCAAACAAGACACTCTGGTTTGAGTGGCGCAGTGGTCTAAGGCACTGCATCGCAGTGCTAGCTGTGCCACTAGAGATCCTGGTTCGAATCCAGGCTCTGTCGTAGCCGGCCGCGACCGGGAGACCCATGGGGCGGCGCACAATTGGCCCAGCGTCGTCCAGGGTAGGGGAGGGAAGTGCCGGCAGGGATGTAGCTCAGTTGATAGAGCATGGCGTTTGCAATGGCAGAGTTGTGGGTTCGTTTCCCACAGAGGGCCAGTATGAAAAAAATTATAATAATGTATGCACTCACTAACTGTAAGTCGCTCTGGATAAGAGCGTCTGCTATATGACTAAAATGTCAAATGTAAATGGTTTGACATTGAGAAACATGGAGGGGGGCAGCAGATTCTTTTTCCTTGCCTAGGGCGCAAGAACGTCCAGGGCCGGCCCTGAATTCAACAACACCTTTGTTTCATCACAAATCCGGAGAGCAACCTCTGTCCCGTGAAGTCCACAAAACATATTGCATGTAACAAACAGTTACAAGACCTACAGCATGGTCAAGCAAATTAATGTTTCAGAAATTTTTGGACCACTAAACAACTATTGATTTAGAACCACGGTGCCTCCGCTATTCCGGCACCATTTCAACTTCAACATCATCAAATCACCTATGCTTAGTCTAATACAGTGGCAACTAAAAGATAACAAAAACAATTTAGTCCAATCGATGTAAACTAAATCTGATGTGGCTGTCCATGTTTCCGATTTTATGTGTGTGCATGCGTGCGCGTTCGTTCCTTCCAGTAGAAAAAACATGTTGACTCACCCAATGCCGTCCTCCTCTCTCTCATGTTTACGAAACAGTCTATCACGCTCATACAGTACACACTTTTATTTTTTGTTGTCTTAGGCTACCTGGCTAAAATGCTTGTTCGCTAGACTAACTTCCTTTCATGGGCAACGTTAGATAGTTAACATTAGTGTTGTGTTCTATTGTTCTCATAATTGGATCTGTATGTGATGAATAGCTTGGAAGGAATGCATTAATGAACTGTACTGATATAAATTGTTTCACATAACAGGCTGTTATTCATGTAAGGAACGTTAGGGGTAGGACAGATAAGACTTGTATTTCTCACAGATACGAACACTCTCTCTTTGTTGTCTGTGAAACTGTCCTTGAACATGGGTACATGGAGTACAGTGGAATGGTGTCTTTTGGGTGCTGACTCCACAGGTTATAATGATAGCAACTTATGCCTGGCAACAAATGGAGTGCCGAGGAGTTGGGACCAACCCCTGCGCCAACGGATTGGCTGAATGGAGTCTGGACCACACTCAGTCCTTTGCTCTGGTTGGCCAACAGAAGAGGTGGAGGCTTTCTGTCAGAGTATTTGAGAAAGAATCTGTAAACAATAGTTCTAGTTCTCTGTCTGCCCTGCGTGGTTTTTCAGTGAGCCCGTATACGAACCTTCATACTTATCATACATACATTTTGCATATAATAAATTAAGCTTGGATTGAAGATCTCTTGATTCTTATTCCAATACCAGATTTGAATTACGCAATTTCTAACATTAGCCTTCTACATCTAGCTACATGTTGAACTTCCATCCTCTCAGGCCAGGGTCACAATGTATGAATTAATGGTTGGATCAGAATTGGCGTTATAATCATTGGCCAGTACGGAAAATTAAGTAAAACCACAATTCCAAATCCCTATCTCCAGTCATGGCTAATTTAGGAAAGTGCCAATTTTAGCTAGCTAGCTAGCCACTGGAGGACAACAACACAGCAAGATGCAGCAATTCAAGTTGTTTCTGTCAATGACGTATGCTCTCGATGCAATTTGACAGGAGTGACGCAAATCAAAACTGGCTTCCCCTTGACACTTTTTTTTTGGGGAAGCCTGGCTTCCTTTGGCATTCATGAATATACACCACTGTAAGCATATGGGACTATCTACACTTGAAGTCGGAAGTTCAGATACACTTAGGTTGGAGTCATTCAAACTCGTTTTTCAACCACTCCACAAATTTCTTGTTAACAAACTATAGTTTGGGCAAGTCGGTTAGGACATCTACTTGGTGCATGACACAAGTAATTTTTCCAACAATTGTTTACAGACAGATTATTTCACTTATAATTCATTGCATCACAATTCCAGTGGGTCAGAAGTTTACATACACTAAGTTGAATGTGCTTTTAAACAGCTTGGAGAATTCCAGAAAATGATGTCATGGCTTTAGAAGCTTCTGATAGGCTAATTGACATAATTTGAGTCAATTGGAGGTGTACCTGTGGATGTATTTCAAGGCCTACCTTCAAACTCAGTGCCTCTTTGCTTGAAATCATGGGAAAATGAAAAGAAATCAACCAAGACCTCCACAAGTCTGGTTCATCCTTGGGAGCAATTTCCAAACGCCTGAAGGTACCACGTTCATCTGTACAAACAATAGTCCGCAAGTATAAACACCCTGGAACCACGCAGCCATCATACCGCTCAGGAAGCACGGGGGTGGCAGCATCATGCTGTGGGGGTGCTTTGCTGCAGGAGGGACTGGTGCACTTCACAAAATAGATGGCATCATGAGGAAGGAAAATTATGTGGATATATTGAAGCAACATCTCAAGACATCAGTCAAGAAGTTAAAGCTTGGTTGCAAATGGGTCTTCCAAATGCACAATGACCCCAAGCATACTTCCAAATTTGTGGCAAAATGGCTTAAGGACAACAAAGTCAAGGTATTGGAGTGGCCATCACAAAGCCCTGACCTAAATCCTATAGAGAATTTGTGGGCAGAACTGAAAAAGCGTGTGCGAGCAAGGAGGCCTAAAAACCTGACTCAGTTACACCAGCTCTTTCAGGAGGAATGGGCCAAAATTCACCCAACTTATTGTAGGAAGCTTGTGGAAGGCTAACCGACATGTTTGACCCAAGTTAAACAATGTAAAGGCAATGCTACCAAATACTAATTGAGTGTATGTAAACTTCTGACCCACTGGGAATGTGATGAAAGAAATAAAAGCTGAACTAAACCATTTTCTCTGCTATTATTCTGACATTTCAGATTCTTAAAATAAAGTGGGGATCCTAACTGACCTAAGACATGGCATTTTTACTAGGATTAAATGTCAGGAATTGTGAAAATGAGTTGAAATGTATTTGGCTATGTATGTAAACTTCAGACTTCAACTGTATGTGTGAGTATAAGATATTCATAGACTACAATCTATGGGCCTGCATATTATCTGAAAACCCTCACTTTCACATTTGCATTGCTTTAGATAAGATAATCTGCTAAAGTCTAATTGACATAATCTAAGAGTAGGCTAACTGTGCTTTTGGGTCCCCAGTACAGCAGTCACCACACTATAGAAAGCTTGGAGTCCAGCACATCCTATAGGTACAGACTGAGAATCACAAGACCAACTGGGGAGTCCCTTTACAGCCCGGCTGTGTCCGTCTCTACCACACATGAGTATACTGTACACAGTACTCTTTCAGTTGACATTTCTGCTTTATGAAAATGATATGCATTTATGTTCTTTGACACATATAATGTCATTCAGGTGAGCCTATGAGTGGGAAGAACCTCCATCGTGCTGACAACATGAATGATGAGGAGGAGCTGACCAGAGTGTTGCAGTCTGGGTGAGTGATGAGCAGATAGACCAGGTACTCTTATGGTTAATGTCATGCTTTATTTCTCTCCAGGACAATCAATGTGAACGTCAATGACAAACACGTAGTGAAGTACCTGAGGATGTTTGGGGCCACGTGGCAGTCCCAGGACATGGGGGGGCTGTACCCCCCTCCACTGGGCAGCTGACGGAGGACACCTGGCTGTCATAGCCTACATGATTCAGGATGGCTGTGAGGTGAGATTGGTGTCAGCATTTAGGAGCTTTATAAACTGGCTGCGTCTGAAATGACACTCTATTCCCTACTGTACATGTAAAGTGCACAACTTATGGTACACTCAAAATTCTTCTTCACAAACCTTCGTTGTGTCGCTAAACGGGTTACTCATGGTGCAAACTCATCGAGACTCCTTAGAAAATAGGACATTGGACAGGAAAGTTCATAGGACAAGGCAAGCAGTCAATATAACTAGTGTGTCTGCTAGGTGGCAGTGTTGAACAACCATGAGGAGCTGGTGCAGCTGTTGTTGGACAGTGGGGCCGACCGCGATGTGAAGAGCGAGGTAATTGCAACTAACAGCATGGGCTCTGTAGCAATTAGAGCAATTTAAATCATTCTGGAATTGACTGATATTTTTGTGTTTGCAGTTTGGGGCAGGGGCAGCTGAAATGGCCTTTGGAAGACAGGTAATGCATTTCTCCATAAACATTACTGTTGTATTGTATGTTACTGTTATAGTGAATATATGAGCAAGTTTGGTTGATTATTATTTTTTCAATACAGAATTTCATCAGTTTTATTAAAAGGACAGAAGAGTATAGTCCATTAGTAAAGGGCTTAGGTGGACAACATAATTTTTTCATAATTTCTAATAGCTTTATTACTGTTGCTTATTTAGTAACACATTGTATGTATGTATCATATACCTGCATTTGTATCTGGATATTTGTTTTGCATAACAAAACATGTATACACATACTGTATGAGATGTTTATGGATGAATTAAATAATAAACCATCAAGAATTGACTCAAAGGATTGACTTGGTTTCGCTATATTGTACAGATGTCTGATTAAACATCATCCTACGAGAGAGAGTCAGAGATTTCACATTGCTGTAATGTAATAATTTGTTTGTGTTAAGTCTTCTGCCTACATTCGCCTGTACAGTCAGAAAAATAAATGCAAATACATGAAATGAACAGCATAAGAGAAACATCATTTATTTGGATCTGCAATATCAATGTTCAAGTACTCCAACTGCCCCAGAATCTAATCTTTTACCATAATCGTCATTCCTTATGGAGTTTAATAATAATAAAAAAACATGTTTTATTGAACAGGAGAAACCATCACTTTGTGGTTCTCACTGCTCTTGTAAAATAAAAGCAAAAAATAAAATAATGATTGCTGACAGATACTATATTTACACTAACTGTACAATGGCTTTTAATTAGAAAATGTAACAGTTAAACAAATAAAATACAGTACATTTGTAAAAAGCAACTTTTACACGTGAATAGATCTGAAGATCTGACAAATGCTGACATCAGATAGCAGTTTATCTAAATCTCTAAAAAGGAACACATACAGTGATTACTAAAAGTCTAAATGCAACTATGCAATGCACTTCTGATGCAAGTCTGATGAGTAGTGAGTAGTGCATTCCACAATATTGAGCGACAAGACATACACTGTATATGCGTACACACACATGCATCCATTTAATTAAAGCACAACAGTATATTGGTGATCACAATACATTGCATACCAGGTTTGATATTTTGTTTTACACCTACAATAACGCAACCACATGTGCCCCTGTTTTACTACTCTACTGACTACTTTTAAATGTAAAAGTTCCCTCCTGTTGAAACCTTGCAAAAGTAGTTATGAGAATGAGGTCATAACTTCATATTGCAAGCTTGCTGCTAACATACACACGAGCAGGAATGCGCGCACACACACACCATGTGCCATGCCAGAGGAAGAGCAGTATGATGAACACTATTACTCAGCACCAATCAAAGCTATATTTAATGACACATATTGTGGCCAAGACATTATCTACCCACAGTCTCTACTTTCATTTGGACAACATTTTAATGTACTGGAAATCAATTATGTCACTTAGTCTACAAATTATTGGTAAAGTTTAAAGGGACAAGAACAGGACATTCAGTACAGTTAATGGATGTATTTGCTGTAAGACTGTAATATTTCAAAGGACAAATTAAACTTAATGGAAATTGTCTTGAACACCTCAAGGAGAGTTCTGTTCCAATGTGTGAGACCGAGCTCCAATATCAAAAGAATAATGATAACCATGAGGTCAAGTACCAGCAATTACCTCATAAACCAAACCACTCTGCCATACTTTTGTCTAAGTAAACTTTGAAAAGACAGAAATGAATAAAACATCGGACACCATCTAGGTGGGGTTTGGACTGTTCACAACACTGAAGTCATCCTGACACCACAGCATCAAGTGAGTTGAAGTGTTAGCTTGTATAGCACGCTCCTCCACCAGCGCAGTTATATTGCATTATTTGGTGTTGCTGTAATTCTCTGGAACCCAGCAGTGTCAGCTCATTTCAGACTCTCCTGGCCCCGCTGGGAGCATTACGTATTGCACAACCACCAGCAAATACTCCAAACTATGTGTAAGAGAGTTGAGTATTTATGAAAGCGGTGAATACAGCATATCCTTCAAGTTTGTGGTCACAACATGAACTATTGAGGGCATGTAAGAGCCCAAAACCATTTGTCAGTTTGTAAACGTGTTCAAGTTCGCCAGCGGAGAAAAACTTCAAGGTCAAAGATACTTTTCTCTGTGGTAGTCCTATACTTGGGTCCAATACCCTGTCAATGAACTCATATTAGGGTACATATGGATAAAGATCATGTATGTAGATCATGTATGAATACAAAGATCATCGAACAATAATCAACAATGTCAATTCTCAAGTATGTGTCCATTCTGAACAATTCCCTTGCTTTTGCACCAAATTGGATTAGTCGAAACCAGTGGAGGCTGCTGAGGGGAGGACGGCTCATAATAATGGCTGGAACAGTGTAAATGGAATGGCATCAAACACATGGAAACCATGTATTTGATGTATTTGACACAATTCCACCTAATCCGCTCCAGCCATTACCACGAGCACATCCTCCCCAATTAAGGTGCCACCAACCTCCTGTGGTCGAAACACACCTCAATTTATACGTCCAACATGTCAGTCCAACACTGTTGCTGATTATGAAGTGAGTGGATGCCTTGGAATGTGAAAGCAGTTCTTATTAATGATAAACTGAACATAAACTCCCAGTCTCTAACACTGCTGCTTAGTGAGTTACAAGTTACACTCAAAGTGTTCCATACTGTGCTTTGTTGCCCTTTAACCTGACCCCACCTCACTTTCTCTCTTCAATTATTCAAGGAATTTCACAGGGTATAAAAAATTGCCTTTTTAGTATGTCTCTCCTTAACTGTATTATCCCCCCCCCCCCCCCCCCCCCCCCAAAAAAAAAAGAAAAGATTTCCCTCCATTATACAGCAAACTGGTAAAAAACAACAACAAAAACACGAACAGCGATCCAAGTCGTGATATGCTACTGTCGAAAGGATCTACCAGAGTGCACTGTGCACATAGTAATAATAAATATAGACATTGAATAGTTCATTTGTACCTGAGCGAGGACAACAAAAGCACCTTTCAGAGGCACAGCACCAATGTTTGAAGTCAGTCCCCTTTTCCTAAAACTCTGAGACCCTTTCAAAGTTGCAAAGGTCTGGTAGAGTTTTGTAGTGCAAATATGGGTCTCCGTCCATAGAGTTCCCCACTATTCCATCTCAACTTCTTTGAGATCAGCGGTCAAAATGATGAGTCTTTGGCAGTCTCAGGGGTTGTATGGGTGCAGGTCTGAAAAGTGAAAAAAACACAAGTGCAGAGTAAAGATTACAATTTATTTTATTAAACACTCATATATATATATAGCTATAAACTTTGTGCCAGCCAGGCCACCGTAGCACAGACCTGTTTGGTTGTGGGATGGTGAGCAGGGGTCTGGGCACGGTGGGGATGGGTCCAGGGAGGCGGACCCCCACCACCTGAGTTGCTGCTTTCCACCCGAGCACGCCTGCCTAGAGGGTCTGCAGGCAGGGGCTTCTGGGGCGGACTGGGCTTCTCACGGTCCTAGGAATGACAAACCAGAAGTTGAAGAGTAGTGTTGGCACAGAAACCTCACTAGAGGGCACTGTGTTATAGTGTGTCACCAGCATAAGGTATGCTCTGTACAATGTGTCAGTGTGTTCTGTAGCCACCACCTCCATAGCAACTCTCTCTGAAAGGTTATCTAAACGAGGTGCCATCATGTGTTACTAATCTAAAATGGGGAGGGCGAGGTAATGACAAACATCTGCTAGCAGCATCCCAGCTGCTCTGCACAGTTTGTAGGAGGAAAGGAACAAACCTTGAGCAATACTCACAAATAAGTGCCAAGTTTCAGAAAACACCAAATGCAAAGGATTTAGAGAACAGAATGAAGTGTTAAAGTCAATTCCACGGTAACAGAATGATGCCAAGCAAAAACCAATGATTGCAAAGTTAAACAAACCATTCAACTCTATGCACAAGGATTACTTTTAACAATTTCCACTGAACAAAAGTTGTCCTTGTGCATAGAGTTGTATGGTTTGTTTAACTTTGCAATCACTGGTTTTTGTTTGACATTCATTTAAAAGTGAAAAACCTGAGTTTCAGCATCGTTCTGTATCACCACAATGGGAACGAGAAAGCAAGTGCATGCTCGCACAAGGAAAAGTATCACTTGAGTCCAACAAAATGGAATGTAACGTTGAAGATAAAGTTCGTAATGACACAATTTAATGTGTATAACATCTAATGACCTACATCACTATACTGAGAGTGTTGATGTTTCTAAAATGATGTATTTGGGTGTTTTGGAGTTTTTGTATAAAAAATTATCCGTGCCCTGGCACTGCAGAATGAACATGAGAAGGTATATCGCTGGTTGGGGTTTCTCAAAACCAAGTGAAATCGCAAAAAAAGTGTCTGGACTCTTCCATAACATGCCATTTACATAACAAATATGAGCTTGTCCTTTAAGGGCGGAAAGTGCGTCCTGGATGACTTTGTAGGGACTTCCAGCTCTGTCATGTTTCACGTGTCAGCAAGAAGGTGAGTTACATCAACCATGCTTGAATAACTGTGACCCCCTGATGTGAAAGATTATTATTCCATTAAGTGAGTGGTTTGACCATGCATAGATGGCAGTGGCAGGTAGGCATGGCATAGTGCAGTGATGTCATCATTAGAGGCTACTCCGTTGTAGTCGATCAAGCTCTTAGACCAGATACGACTGCCCCAATAAAAACACATTTGACTGAGTCTACAGTACTAGTGTTAATGTCTTGTAGCTTAAACCACATCTAAAGACTTGTGACTTGGACTCAGTTAAATTGTATTAGGACAAACAGTGGAGACCACTTCTTGTGAAACAGCGGTCTGTTTGTTGCTTCAATTTGCCTTTCGAAACTCTAAACTCAAAGAATAAGATCACCTACTGGGGATGGCAGCTGAATCGTCTCCTGATGCTGTTAAACCAGAGAGGCGCCAGAGAGGTTGAAATAAAGACCTAATCAGATTGAAGCCTTCTCTCCAGCCTGGAGTGGCTCCAAGTAAGTAGAAGTCACCTCTAATCGCTGATCCTGCATCAGATAGGTTTTAATCTCTCTGATAGTTAAGGGGTAGGGTAATCTGATACTTGATCTGTTGTTAAGGGCATCTTATACCTCAAGTGTTGTGTGTCTACCTCTCTGTTCTGGATCAGATACTCCAATACTGCAGGAGTCTATGTAGGAGAGAGGTCACCTTGGACACCATATGACATAATATGGACCCCCACATTCACCACCAACTGTGCCCCTCAGCAGACCTCCTAAGTCAAGATGTACCCTTTTGCCTGAACTGTGAAACCTGATTTAGACCATGCTGATGACCCTTGGGTTGTTAGATAGCATAGTGGACATTTGGGTTGTAGGTACCACATGAATATACAGCTCACAAGTTAGAATTTCATCATTTTAAAAGTTTTGTTTCAAAGATAAATATGTACAAGAGAGCCTGAGTACAAGATAACCTGAGTAATAATAATAATAATAATAATACATTGGACTTATAAAGCGCTTTTCAAGGATCCAAAGTCACTTTACAATTGTAGAAATGAAAAAAAAATCAGTGCTTTGGATATACATATACCATCCTTTGTTTGTTTTTACCATGGGGAACTGAACTGTGCTAGGCTGCTATGGACACATACCTCAACAGAGAGTATCTCAGGAGAAGGGGATGCATTGGATCTATATCTGTCTCTCTCCATCTCTTACATGCTGTTCCTTTACATCTGGGAGTAGTTATGTGCTTTATACACCAGAGAGAAAAGTAACATCTCCAAGTTAACGTCTTCCTTTCTTTTCTTTTTTTACAGCATCTGCCAGTGCACTCTGCACCTTATAAACCCGCGGACATCTTACATGGTGCTCTACGCATACAGATCACCTGCCTGCGTGAGCCCTGAGCAGACAGATGGATTTACATACTCTATACACAGCCCTGCTGGCTCAGCACAAAACAGGATTTGTGGAAAACATGGAGAACTGTAAGGATTAAGTGCACACTGTAAAAAATATCTAGTTGTTTGTAACTGGTTCCAAACCATTTTGTTGTTTACTCAACTACTCAAGTGTTACCTGAACTTAACATTTTTAGTTGGCCCAAACTTAGCTCCAACTTGACAAAACTTAAGCAAAAATTATGTGTTTGCTCAACTCGTCTCATATGTTCAGACAACAAAAAACATTTTATTTGGCCATCTTAACTAAAAAGGCTGTGGAACTAGTTACACACACACAAACAGTGCTTTTGACATACAATGTTTTCATATTTGACACACATGATTACTTTGTGCATGTTCATATGGACAGTAATTATTATTCAACATGTCCTCACATAGGATTTTAATTCACAATCTCTTGGTTCACGGCATACCGATCTTCCTGCTACACCACCATGTCTGTGTCAATGACTGATTTCACCTCTATTGCTACACTTTGCACTTCAAATTAAATCTCAGCTCTGTTAAAAGTACACTCAAGTAAAACTATTTAAGGAGTAACATTAAAACAGAGTAAATATGCCCCACCAACATTAGACAACTACACAGAAAACCCTTAAATTGCTGAAATAAGTCAATAAAATCAATGATGAGAGACTTTTCAGATTAACTGATAATTGACACAGACATGGTGGTGTAGCAGGAAGATCGGAATGCCATGAACCAAAAGGTTGTGAGTTCAAATCCCAGGTGAGGACATACTGTATAACTTACTGTATAAATGGACATGCACAATGTAATCATGTATGTCAACTGGTGTCAAATATGTAAGTTGAAAATATTGTATGTTAAAAGCACTGTGTGTGTAACCAGTTGTACAGCCTTTTTTTAGTTAAACCTTTATTTGCTCAAATAATAAGTTCTAGTTGAATGGAAATATGAGACAAGTTGAGCAAACACATTAATTTAAGTTGACTGAACTTTTGTATACATTTTCTCAAGTTGGAGATAAGCCAACAATTTATTTTACGTTCAAGTAAAAAAGGCTGTGGAACCAGTTACCTAATAATAATTAGTTGAAACAACTAGAATTTTTTTCCCAGTGTGCTGTTGTGTAGAATTGTTTACATGTTGAGATCGGCAATTTGTTATTTAGCTATGCATTCCAATGGTTATAGCAACACACTATTTAGTGTGCATGGTACATTACTTATCCATTGTGTAATAGTATGTAAATTGGGACCGAAGGCAGGTGTTACGAATAAGTGAGAGAGGGCATGCGTATTTCCGATTGTCCTTGTTGAATTTATGTTCTTTAAATGTTATGGATTGTGTGAATTCATAAATCTACTTTTTAAATTAGGGCAGCACGATATTGGCAAAAAATCAAACACAATGTTTTTGACAAAATATTGTGATTGCGATTTGACTTGCGATAAAGATCAAAACACTTGGGTGAACTGAATCCTATAAATATAATGATTTATATTAAAAAGCAGCATCTTTCTTGTTTGGAACAATCTGTTGACTACATTTGACCTAACAGAACAGCATACAAATGTATAGCGAATCTAACAGCGAGGAGGAGGAACTGAGCTACTTGAATGACCGCGCGGGGCTGGTGGGAAGCAGCTGCAAGAAGAGATAAATATGGAGTAAACTATAAAAACAAACGTTACTCGCAGCTGAGTGGCGTTTCAAAATATTGCATGTGATATGAATCTCTTGCGATATGGATATTGCAAATGTCAATATTGCGATTTCGATGTGCATTCGATTAATTTTGCAGTCCTACAGGAAATACATTGGATATTTGTATTCATAGCGGATGGCATGGCAGAACAGTGACTACTAACCTGGTCCATCCTGTAGGGCTGCTGTCGGGGCAGGCTGTGGAAAGGTGGTGCCCGCGGTGGGGAGAGGGCAGTGTGGGCCGGCAGGGCCCTGTGGTGGGGTGGGACCGGGGGCAGGGGTTGCTGTCCCACACTCAGGAAGACAGGCATGGGGTGGCTGATGTGGATGGGCTGGTAGTGGGGCAGCCGCCGCAAGCTGTGGGAATTTAAACTGTGTGGAGGGAGGAGAGGCTCCGAACTCCGGTGGGATGGCTGTGGGGATGGAGGGAGGGGGAGGGGGAGGGAGGGAGGGTGGTAGAGAAGCGAGAGCTGTTAGTTGGAGTTTTTGGTCAGGGCTTGAGCTGTTATGTTCTCCTCCCTCTGCTGTTCCTCAGATCATTTAGCCTATTCCCTGTTGGAGTCTCCCAAACAATCATTTCAAACCCCTGTGACCTATGTAGCTGGACACAGCAACCAGAACCCAGGGTAAAACTATACCCATGTTTTCTGTCATGGATGTACTATTACTATGAATTAACAAGTTTCATAGTATGTTTTCTGTTATTGACTGCCTAAGTGAATCTAACACATTGAAACGGTCAAAGCCAGCACCAGATTGCCTATCCAGAACTGCTGTTAGTCCTCAAGAATAAACCCAATTGCACAAGAGATGGATGGACTGGCTGAATTGGCCTGGCCTGTAGCTACTCTACGCCAGGTGACCTGCAGAGAGTCTGCTGGAGATCTGGACAGGGGGAACGGTGACTGCCAGAGCAAACACTAAACAGCAGGACTGAATACTGCTGAGGAGCCAGAGTCACGTTCACTAGAGGAGACGATACTGGTTTTGGAGAGAGAACTGGGTTAATCATCCTTCCTGCCCAAGCCAGCTAACCCTTAACCCCTGAACTCTGACCACAATGATACACTCCAGCTGTTCCCCATGGGAATCGACTGTGGCTGTTGGAATGCACATACAAATGCATACGCACACACACACACATACACACGCTTATCAATTCAAAAACAAGTCCATCCCAATTTGCCTCTTACGCTTGATTCTCCAACTCTGTTCTCCTGTGTCCCTCTATACAATGTTTTTTTAAATCTCAGGCAGAACCATTATACACTGCCCTATAATGATACTGCACCATGATTACCATTTCATTTAAATGGTGCGGCCTCTCAATCAAAGTTTCTTTAGCCTTCTGCCAGCAATACTGGCCTCATTAATATTTCTTCAAGGGAGAGACGCTGAGACTAAATCAATTATACGCTTAGCCGTCAAATTGTTTTGACAATAAGTCTGGAATGAATAGGTTCAGTTAAGCATGGCAAGTCTCAGTCCAATTTGATTCCCTGTTGTGTTGTTGGGGTTTTGATACAGTATGATTGCATTAGAAATCCAATGGTGTGTGACCGTTAGTTTGTCAGCAGTTAGTTTGTAATACTTCTTTGCTAACACACGTTTTAGCTCTCTCTATATCCATATCCCAATCTTTTATACAGTGCAAAGTGTACTTGTTACATCATCCATTGTGTAGGCCTATGAGTGAACCATACTAATCAATTGATCATAAGGGAAGGTTGGGAGAAAAACTCCAGCTCCCTCACGTGTAACAGTCTGTGTTCTACTAAAGTGACTATCAGGGAAAATCAGCTTCCCATTAACTCCAGCAGAAAGAGACCCACCTTGTATACGCTGGCACCTGGAGGCTTGGCTGGGGGCTTGTGTCGTGAACTGTACATGGACTGAGTCTGGCTGAGGCTGGTTGCTCTGGTGGACCCAACAGACCTATGAAGACAGAGAGGTAACATTTCAACTACTATACTAGTCTTCTACTAACTACTATTCTACATCTCTTTAGGTGCTGCAGCTTTGAGACACACAGTAACAGGACTTCTTCTGTACACACATGTCCCATCCATTGTGAGGACTATGTGCAGGACTATGTGTCTTTCTCTCACATGGTTAGTGGAGTCACAAGGTTACTATCGCTGTGAACACATAAAATCACCAGAGAGAGACCCTGGAACCATAATGCATATTAGAAACAATATCTCTGTCATTTCTACAAGAAAATCATCTCTACATGAAAGCATCTCTATAAAAGTATTCTGTCTTGACATCTAGAACATAAGATTAAACACAGGTGTTGGAGGAAGTGTCCTACTGTACCTTAGTTTATCCATGGTGGTCTTCTTGTTGGTGAAGAGCAGACGGACCAGAGTTTTCCTCTTGAGGAATACCAGGAACCCAGCACCCATCAGGCTGAGGAGGGTGGCCAGGATTGCCACAGCAACCACCCTGCTGTCAGCTGACGTCACATACGACAACACGCACATTAATACACACACACGCACATCTACATCACAGCACAAACAAGACACACAGAGCGTGTTAATAGAAGCCACATCAGCGTTTTAGTACATGTGACATTATTTACATTATTATTTCCAGGGAAATGAGTTATATGTAGCTAGGGTGAATAGGTGACTGAGGTAGATCCGTCTGTAAGTTTGGAGAGCTCAGTAGCGCTTCAAAGAAACTCTAACTTGCTGTGAGTAGGTTATGAAAGTACAGCTAAAGGTGTTAATCTGATTATTATCTAACTTTCTTACTCTCTGCCCAGGTTAGTGGAACAGAGGGTGAAGTTAGTGAAGTATAAAGAGGACGGAGTGTACTGTACCAGCCAGTCTCATTGGTCCACTGTCGAGGCTGCCTCCAAACCCCACCCTCTCACAGAAGGGAGGGGCCCAGTGCTCCTCACAATGGCAGTTCTTCTTGTTGTTACACACCTAGAATCATAATGCATGCTGGTTAATATTCAGTTGACGTGTCTTCACCTGTACAATACAATACTGTCTATACCATGTGTTCTATCAATAGACACTGGTCAGAGTACAGGGAGACTTGTGTGCTAGGCCTCTAGGCTCTAGGGATCATCAGACACACAGTAGTGTGTGGGCGGCAGGTAGCTTAGTGGTTAAGAGCGTTGCGCCAGTAAGGTCGCTGGTTCTAATCCCCGAGCCGACTAGGGGAAAAATCTGTCGATGTGCCCTTGAGCAAGGCACTTAACCCTAATTTCTCCTGTAAGTCGCTCTGGATAAGAGCTTCTGCTAAATGACTAAAATGTAAAAATGTAGTGAGCGACTACAGTGCAAGGATCTATGGCAAGTATGCATTACTTCTTTTACGTACTTTATAAGCTACCAGTATGCATCATACTTGCCTATGACACACATGACATACGAGAGATGCATTCATCTGTACCACTGGCCTGCAATTCCTCAGAAAAGAGATGAAAATAGGATCCCAGCCCACATCTGAAATGCTTGAATTACTTCTACAAATAAACCACACACTCGTTCCATCAGACCCATCGGTTTTCATGTGGTGGGCGCCATAGACTGTGCAGTGTCAAACATGATGGAGAAAACATGTGCAGGGGACAGCCCATTCCAAAACACAGTTTTCCGAGCGAAAGAAGGATCCAACAGAATTCCCTAGAGGGATAATGGAGTCCAGCTGTCAGCTGCAGGGAGGCCTGTGACTGGGATCGCTCCAGATCGGATCTGGCCCCGAACAGGGAAGAGCTTTCCCTGCCTGCATCGGAGTGACTGACATTCCCTTATGTGTGTGGAGTGTTTGGGGCCAGGGGTGGTCAAGGTCAAGACTGGAGACTTAAGGACACATAAGAACCCCTGAGGGGAGATCTATGGATGTGATAGGATTATGCCACAACGTACTTTACAGTACACTTGTAAACACACATGCACATATAATGTTATATAGACTGACATCTACACAGAGCCACATATGGAGATGCATCCTGGCTCTGGATTTATCTACAGTGTTGGGTTGGTTATATTTGTGACATCATGTGGGTCATAGAGATCGTATTAAATTACTAGAGGGGATATATCATAAACCCGCAAAGTTCCATAATGGAGCGAAAATGGCAGCCATCTTGGTCAGGGAGGAATCCAAAATCAGTCTAATTGGAATTAATGGCAGTAGTGGCATAGGTGATGCATTTCCTGTTTTTACTTATGTAAGGCATGTGATGTATCAGAAATTATGTAATGGAATTATAGTCAACCTAAACAGTTAATAAAGGTTTTATACAAATGTTCTGTATAAATAGCCTCTGAAATATACACTGCTCAAAAAAATAAAGGGAACACTTAAACAACACATCCTAGATCTGAATGAATGAAATAATCTTATTAAATACTTTTTTCTTTACATAGTTGAATGTGCTGACAACAAAATCACACAAAAATTATCAATGGAAATCAAATTTATCAACCCATGGAGGTCTGGATTTGGAGTCACCCTCAAAATTAAAGTGGAAAACCACACTACAGGCTGATCCAACTTTGATGTAATGTCCTTAAAACAAGTCAAAATGAGGCTCAGTAGTGTGTGTGGCCTCCACGTGCCTGTATGACCTCCCTACAACGCCTGGGCATGCTCCTGATGAGGTGGCGGATGGTCTCCTGAGGGATCTCCTCCCAGACCTGGACTAAAGCATCCGCCAACTCCTGGACAGTCTGTGGTGCAACGTGGCGTTGGTGGATGGAGCGAGACATGATGTCCCAGATGTGCTCAATTGGATTCAGGTCTGGGGAACGGGCGGGCCAGTCCATAGCATCAATGCCTTCCTCTTGCAGGAACTGCTGACACACTCCAGCCACATGAGGTCTAGCATTGTCTTGCATTAGGAGGAACCCAGGGCCAACCGCACCAGCATCTGGTCTCACAAGGGGTCTGAGGATCTCATCTCAGTACCTAATGGCAGTCAGGCTACCTCTGGCGAGCACATGGAGGGCTGTGCGGCCCCCCAAAGAAATGCCACCCCACACCATGACTGACCCACCGCCAAACCGGTCATGCTGGAGGATGTTGCAGGCAGCAGAACGTTCTCCACGGCGTCTCCAGACTCTGTCACATGTGCTCAGTGTAAACCTGCTTTCATCTGTGAAGAGCACAGGGCGCCAGTGGCTAATTAGCCAATCTTGGTGTTCTCTGGCAAAGGCCAAACGTTCTGCACGGTGTTGGGCTGTAAGCACAACCCCCACCTGTGGACGTCGGGCCCTCATACCACCCTCATGGAGTCTGTTTCTGACCGTTTGAGCAGACACATGCACATTTGTGGCCTGCTGGAGGTCATTTTGCAGGGCTCTGGCAGTACTCCTCCTGCTCCTCCTTGCACAAAGGCGGAGGTAGCGGTCCTGCTGCTGGGTTGTTGCCCTCCTACGGCCTCCTCCACGTCTCCTGATGTACTGGCCTGTCTCCTGGTAGCGCCTCCATGCTCTGGACACTACGCTGACAGACACAGCAAACCTTCTTGCCACAGCTCGCATTGATGTGCCATCCTGGATGAGCTGCACTACCTGAGCCACTTGTGTGGGTTGTAGACTCCGCCTCATGCTACCACTAGAGTGAAAGCACCGCCAGCATTCAAAAGTGACCAAAACATCAGCCAGGAAGCATAGGAACTGAGAAGTGGTCTGTGGTCACCACCTGCAGAACCACTTCTTTATTGGGGGTGTCTTGCTAATTGCCTATAATTTCCACCTGTTGTCTATTCCATTTGCACAACAGCATGTGAAATTTATTGTAAATCAGTGTTGCTTCCTAAGTGGACAGTTTGATTTCACAGAAGTGTGATTGACTTGGAGTTACATTGTGTTGTTTAAGTGTTCCCTTTATTTTGTTGAGCAGTGTATGTAAACAGACCATATTCTTTTTATTGGAATGCTGTGAGGGCTATAATGATACAATATCAGTACTTGTTGCATTTACAACTTGTCTAAGTCCTATCATCAACTGATTTGAGCAAATTGTATGGATGTGGATTTACTGCATTGTTTGAATGGGATGTTGGCATATTGGCAGTTCATTTGAAAAATTACTGGAATTATTCCTCTAAAACTGTCTGGCTAGCTAGCTAACAAACATACAGTGCAGATGAATTCTTCACATTCATAGTTTTAAACAATATTTTATCACAGCACTGGCAAACCATGGTTGACCAACTCTGACCAACACGTCTGACCTTTGTACCATCATAAGAAGGTTCATGTCTATTCTAGTATTCTAATTCCTAATTCTATGGTCTGAATGTAGTCAATATATAATGTTCAATTTAGATAAATAAAGACACTAATGTGTAGTTAGTAGTAATGCTACAGCACACAAGGGGTGACATCACCACCTAGTTCCACCTGTTCTTAACACATTTTTTAATCATACATCATCCAATTAAAGTTCAAATAAAAATTCAAAGAAGCAATCAAACTTAATTATTAAGGTAAACTAAGGCAATTTCTTACTACAGCTTTGATTCTGTGTTTTATATTCACCTCTGTTAAAGGTGGGGCAACCATGCAGTGGTTCAAAAGCCAGTCACTGTAAGCAAATCTGGGCCAGGGTTCTGCTTTTCATTCATTCATTCATTGAACTAAACAACAAAGTAAATACAACATAAAATGCTTCTCTTTGCAGTATTAATACCTCTTCAAACATAAGTGAGCATTTTGACTAGTGCAGTTTAATGCTTCCAGACTACAGCTACTTGCTAGTATGTTCTAGTGCTGTTTGGCCTGCCTTCTCTATGCCAAAAGATGATGGATGGCACGTTAAGTAGAACATCAATGATGCCATTAAATGGGATTGATTTAAACTATCTGGAGCCATGAAGATTGATTGTAAAGCATCGGAGTAGCTGCCATAACTCATGGGCGGTGAGTTAACTACAACTACGATAACTACATTGGCGCTCTGTGTAGCAGAGTAAAGGGCCTACTGTACTACTCTACTGTATGCAATGTTGAGGTCAATAAGATGCTGTGATAAGTGAATAATATTGACATGATAACAGTGTTTAGCTAATAGAGTGAAATAAGTCACTGCATTCTAGATACTCAACATAAAATGATACCCTCCAACATGGAGTACTCACCCCTCGTCCGCTGCACTTCCCTGAACATTGGTGCACACCAAACACACTGACATTCTGGCACTGACGATTCAGACACATCTATGGAACAGAGAAAGAGTCATATTGAATAAATGATTTATCAAATGTAAAGTACTGTAGTACTCCAAATGTGATGTTAACTAGAATGGAAAGTCTATCTTCCGAGAACTGATATCTATTCCATTCTCTGTTCTTTCGTAAGAGGCCTAATTCCACTGATCCCAGTGATGAGAGTAAGTGATTGGTTTGGAATTGGGCCAAGACAAGATTGGGCATTATCTCCACCACTGGTGACTACAGTCTCACTCTAGTTCTGCTTGATAACAGGTGCAGCGCCCTACAGAGTGCCCTCACCATTCCCTCTCCACACGTGGTGCCAGCCAGAACCAGTCCAGGGTCAGGCATGTCATCACCCAGGTAGACATGTGTCCCCCGACACAGGATCCTCCCTCCTTCCTGAAGAGGGATGTTGGTTTCTATGGAGACGGCATTGGTGCCAATCACAGGCCGGTTGGCCCCTCCTTGACACTGAATTTTACCACACTTTGCGTCTCTGTGTAAAGAAAACAACCCACATATGCACGCACGCACACACGCACACACGCACGAACGCACGCACGCACTCACACACACACACACACACACACACAAATGACAAGGCATAAAGTTAAACACTGACAATCTCTGACATGTGAGAGATGGTGTGTAATTTTAACCAAAGATGAAAGACAACTAGACAGCCTTCGTCTCACCCTAATGACTCCCTCAGTCCTCCAGTCATTAAAGCAATTACATAAATTAACAAATGCTTGATTAGAGATCCAAGAACAATTAGCCGACATGATTAGCATAAAGTGTTCATGAATACTTCAAACTGTAATTTGCCTTCTACCATCTCCAAATTGTGATTTTAATTATTGTTCCTTCCAAGGCTATTTGTCCCATATAATGTGCCATGCTGATTGTCGATTGGCACTCTTGATAATACCAATTCAGATAAACAATGTTGTTTTATTCCTTGGTCTTTCTAGCTAGCTCTTTTTGCTTTTAAGGCAATAGACATGACATACATCACAACAGCTGCTCAGTCTTACCGGGCTTCACATTTGGCAAACAATCCTTTGGAGTCCTTCCCACAGTTCCCGTAAGGATCTCCTGCTGAGTTGACCCTCTCGAAGCAGATCCCTGGGGCAGGTTTGGCTCCTGCAGGATAAAGAGAGAGAGGAAGATAGAAAGAGAGAGAGAGAAGGGGGGGGGGGGGGGGGGAGTGAGAGTGAGAAGGGAAGAGAATGAGTGAGAGAGGGAGGGGAAGAGGGAGAGAGCGAGATGTGATCTGTCAGAGATGTGACAAAGCATAACATGAGCAAAAGGTAACCCCTGACCACCAGATGTTAAGGCAAGTCAACTGAGGAGGAACCTGTCATCATAAAAATGATTGTTTACATGATGTCTGTCAGCTTGTGCTGTCCAGGTGCTGCATGGCCTCTCCCTTGACATTACACTGATTTATAAGCTAGGATTAGTTGTTCTTTAGCTACTTCAAGAGTTAAGGAAAGTTACAGATGTACTCATCTTATCTCTCCAAACATGGAAGACTGTCAAAGACAAAAACATGAATCAAGACTTCTAGTCCATTGGTAGGCGCTCTACTGACCTGGTCCCCATAGTGTGATGCACTGCTGCTCGTGGGTCTGGCAGATGCCGTTGTAGCAGTATCCGTCCACTTTGTGGCAGGAGTGCCCGTCGTGCAGGTACACGTTGGCAGGGCAGTGGGGGTTGGCACCAGTACAGAACTCTGGCAGATCACAGGAGTTACTGGACTCTCGACACGGTGTGCCAGCAGGCTTCAGCTGCAGAGAGAATATATATATACACACACAAACAAACAACCACACACACACACACACACACCTCAATGACAATGGAATCAGAAGGGCAAACTAAATTGAACATGTTTGGCATCTTTTGTGTACTGCGGAGGGCCCTGTGCTTGAATACACCTTGATTACATTTTTTTTTTTTACTGTAAACTCTTTCTTGTGTAACACATGCCAATGGAGCAGAGAGAATTAGATTTCCACGCTTTTTGTCATTTTGACAGGGAGGAAAGAGGGAGAAAAGACACAGCCTGAGAGAGCAAAAGTGCAAGGGAGGGAGAGAAAGATAGAAACAGAAAGAGCAGTCTTACCCTGCAGTCCTCGCAGCACTGTCCGTGGGCACACACGGCATCTCCCTTCAGGGTGCAGGTGGTGGCATTGCAGCAGGGGTTCATGCATTCCTGAGAGACACAAAACAAAACAACAAATGGACCTCATTATCGGTCTGGACCCCCGACTCTCAGTTGTTGCTGCTTTGTTCGTGTCAGATCAGCCTTCCAGGTCAGTTGGTCAGGGAGAGCACAGCACAGCCCCTTAACGCTGTGAGCTAAAGCCTGGAGACACAATAATATAATATAATAATAATATGCCATTTAGCAGACGCTTTTATCCAAAGCGACTTACAGTCATGCGTGCATTTTTTGTGTATGGGTGGTCCCGGGGATCGAACCCACTACCTTGGCATTACAAGCGCCGTGCTCTACCAGCTGAGCTACAGAGGACCACTATAGAGGACCACAATACTATGGCACAAACAGACAGGAGAGAGCCCATTCGCTGTCAGGGTAAACATATCTTCGGTCCCTGTACGGGGCTCATATGTTTCGGAATTGGCTTCGCTCTGGTGTTAAAACAGCATTCTGTTTTAATGTCCATTGATGTGCATTCTATACAATGGGTGGGTGGATGTGGAGAGACACAGATCAAGTTTAGGGTGTATTGTAGGTTGGGGTGTGGTAGGGTAAGGGGACATTGTTTGAGATTTTATTGAAGGTGAAGGTAGTGAAAGGATGTTGTAGAGGTATTTGAGTGGGTTGAGGGTGTGGTGAGGTTGGTGGGGCTTTGAGGCTCCTGAGTGCTGGAGATTACAAACACTGAAACACAATGAAAAGAAAAGTTGAGCCGACCACAGAGAGAAAGAGATGAAGTGTACGAAGGGGGGTTAGAGAGAGGCAGATAGGTGATGGTGTGAGAAATTAACTGGGATTAAGAGAGGGAGAGAGGTAGAAGTAGATGGTTAATGTGATAGATTAAAGGAGTAAAAGACAGCGTTAAAGAGTACAGAACAGTGTTGAAATCCCTTTTAGATATGTTATTAGAGGCTGAACTCCAGCTACACCATCTCTCCTTTGTCTTTACTTCCCAACAAGGCCCTGGTGTGTTGACTCTGGTCTGACGACGTGTTGATGCTGATGGGTCAGGACTAGAGGTGGCTTAGTTGGCTGCTGCTTCAATGTTGAAGGGAATTTTATGGGATTGGCTGTGCTCTTGTGGCCTGACGTCAGCCTATTGGGCCCGTGGTGACATCACCGGGTCACGGAGGGGCACGGGGGGGGGGGGGGGGGGGGGGGGGGGGGTAATGGAACGGCAATATGCCAACCCAAACCACACAGCTGGTATTACGGCTTTCTAATCATTGCCTGATTGGAAATACCTCATACTGTAATTGAGGGGATACTGGTCTCATCATTACTTGACAAATCTGTAAACACTTGAGACCGAATGACATCAGTGTGTATCATCCGAGTAGACTCAAGAGCACAGATATGTTCTGTTTATTAGTTTAGTCATTGGATGCCGCAGTAAATTAGCTAGTCATCTCGGAGAGGAGTGGATACAGAGAGAAGATTATGTGGGTGTATGATGGAATGGGAGTGCTAAAAGAGTTCAATTGTCTGCATATCAAATGCATCTTCATCAAAAGCCTCCGTAACGGTATCCTTAACCATTCTGTCATCCTTAAGACAACAATGACAACAACAACACTCCCACATCCGGTTCATGACCTGCTTTCTTGTTGTTCTGTTTGAAGACTAACACCTAAGCACAGTGCCAAAGGGATTTATCATATTCTGTGGGATGTGAGAGCAGCTGCTGTGGTTGTGAGTTAGAGTGATGCTGAATGCTGCTCCAGTACCTGTTCCCCAGATGTGGGTCTGGACTGGTTTGGACTGGTTTCAGTTCCCATGGCAGCCATGTCAGTGTGGTGCTCTGTTGTTTTGATGGCACAGACAAAGAAAGCTCCACCTCGCCCTGATTACCCTCTTGTTTATTAGGATTGTCACAAATCTGGCCGGCACACTTGATTAATGAGTAAATTAACAGGATGTGACATTGTGGCACAGTATCAGGGCAGTGCTCGGCACATATGGGAGGCTGACAGGGGTCTGAGTAAATGGCTGCAAATAGCTGATGGTCTCCAGTGTTTTGTAATGTTATGCATGGAGTTGTTTTACATATCTATGTCATTGCCTTTGAGGCAAAATAACAATGTTGACAGCATGGCATACAACTATATGTATGCAAATGTGGCAGAGTGATGTTGTTACCCTAGATTATGCACAGGCATTTTATTTTGAAGGAGTTGTACAAAAGGACTCTTATTTTGATAGAGCAGAGAGGACTGGGTCAATGGGTCCCCTCAAGAGGTGATACATTTATTTTTGTATTAATTTACATTCCATTGTATGTGTATTCTTTTATCACAGCTGGGTTGCTGTCATTTAATTTTATGTAAAAACACTAAACTATATTATCTCGTGTTTAAAAAAGTGTGTAATGTCAGGTTTGATGGTGCATCCTTGGTTGGTTTGGTACATTTGTTTGGTAACCTGTTGCTTCCCCTTTTATCGTCCTCTCTTGTCTGCCTATCCTTGGGAGAAGGTATGTTGTCCTCTGCTCCTCTATTTTAAGTGTAAAAACATGTCAATATGTTCTTTAAGTGGGAGTAAAGTTGTCATTTGTGTAAATATATTTTGCTGCAATTCTCATTGTATATAATTATATTTGCCATGCATGAGTGCATTTTAAAAAGTTGTATTTACTGTAGCTCGCTAGCTAGGTTAGCCATGTAGCCTGTGGAGTATGATGGCGTATTGTTTCCATGTACTTAATGGTTTGCTGTGCCCTGACAGGTGCGCGAGAGCATGTGCGCAAGAGCTGACACTACAACCTGTTTTTGTCAACTCTCTGCAGGTATGTTGTAATATCATTTATAATGAGAATTGCAAATTGTTGTGTGTTTTATTTAGTACTGTGGTGTATGTGTTGTGGTGTGCTAGGTGCATGGCATGTGTGCACCACAATACATTTTTGTGAGTTCTCTCGTCTGCCTATCCTTCGGAGAAGGTGCGCGAGAGCATGTGCACATGAGCTGACACTGCAACCTATTTTTGTCAACTCTCTGCAGGTGGCAAATAAATCCCCACAAATCAATCCAGTTCTCAGAGTGACGCTATTTCAGACACAGCGCAGAATTAAGCACGCTACACAAACAAACAAACACAAGCACATTTTCATATGCTTGTGCTTTCTTGTGGGGCTTTGTGTGAGTTGTTGTGCTTTGCTATAGTTTTGACTGCTTGTAGTTACTGTGTGTCATTTGTTGTTATTCTGTGCGAGTGTTCATGGTTTGTTGTATTTCTTTGTGTTCTTTAGTCTGGATAGTGACTGGTGGTCCAATACATTTAGTATTTAAACTGTACAATATGATATGAAAAAAGTTCCTCTGTGTGGTTGAACGTTACTGTACCTCCAGCTCTCCACAGTCACACTCCTCTCCCTCCTCCACGTATCCGTTGCCACATTTCTGTCCCCCATAGAGCACCTTGACCTCAGGCATGTTGTACAGACACATCCCCACTCCCTTCTCCAAACTGGCTGCAAGGTCCTTCTTACTGCAGGTGCTGAACACCGTAGGAAACGGGTACCTAAGGGACAAAGACAATGGCAACTTGTTGAGTGCAAAGTGTTGCTATGTTACATTACACCAGTTGTGGGCACTATCTTTTGATATTGGCACAACCGATATAGAATGCTCCTGGCGTTCAAGGTCAGAGTTTCCATAAAACAGTCCAACAGGCTATTACGTTCAAGAATGATCTGATTAATTCCTATATGTATGTACAGTTAAAGTCAGAAGTTTACATACACTTAGGTTGGAGTCATTAAACCTTGTTTTTCAACCACTCCACAAATGTCTTGTTAACAAACTATAGTTTTGGCAAGTCGGTTAGGACATCTACTTTGTGCATGACACAAGTAAATTGTCCAACAATTGTTTACAGACAGATTATTTCACTTATAATTCACTGTATCACAATTCCAGTGGGTCAGAAGTTTACATACACTAAGTTGAATGTGCTTTTAAACAGCTTGGATAATTCCAGAAAATTATGTCATGGCTTTAGAGGGTTCTGATAGGCTAATTGACATCATGTGAGTCAATTTGAGGTGTACCTGTGGATGTATTTCAAGGCCTACCTTCAAACTCAGTGCCTCTTTGCTTGACATCATGGGAAAATCAAAAGAAATCAGCCAAGACCTCAGAAAAAAAATTGTAGACCTCCTCAAGTCTGGTTCATCCTTGGGAGCGATTTCCAAATGCCTGAAGGTACCACGTTCATCTGTACAAACAATAGTACGCAAGTATAAACACAATGGGACCACGCAGCCATCATACCGCTCAGGAAGGAGACGCGTTCTGTTTCCTAGAGATTAATGTACTTTGGTGCGAAAAGTGCAAATCAATCCCAGAACAACAGCAAAGGACTTTGTGAAGATGCTGGAGGTACAAAAGTATCTATATCCACAGTAAAACGAGTCCTATACCGATATAACCTGAAAAGCCGCTCAGCAAGGAAGAAGCCACTGCTCCAAAACCGCCATAAAAAAGCCAGACTACGGTTTGCAACTGCACATGGGGACAAAGATCGTACTTTTTGGAGAAATGTCCTCTGGTCTGATGAAACAAAAATAGAACTGTTTGGCCATAAAGGCCATCGTTATGTTTGGAGGAAAAAGGGGGCAGCTTGCAAGCCGAAGAACACCATCCCAACTGTGAAGCACGGGGGTGGCAGCATCATGCTGTGGGGGTGCTTTGCTGCAGGAGGGATTGGTGCACTTCACAAAATAGATTGCATCATGACGAAGGAAAATTATGTGGATATATTGAAGCAACATCTCAAGACATCAGTCAGGAAGTTAAAGCTTGGTCGCAAATGGGTCTTCCAAATGAACAATGACCCCAAGCATACTTCCAAAGTTGTGGCAAAATTGCTTAAGGACAACAAAGTCAACGTATTGGAGTGGCCATCACAAATCCCTAACCTCAATCCTATAGAAAATGTGTGGGCAGAACTGAAAAAGCATGTGCAAGCAAGGAGGCCTACAAACCTGACTCAGTTACACCAGCTCTGTCAAGAGGAATGGGCGACTTATTGTGGGAAGCTTGTCGAAGGCTACCCGAAATGTTTGACCCAAGTTAAACAATTTAAAGGCAATACTACCAAATACTAATTGAGTGTATGTAAACTTCTGACCCACTGGGAATGTGATGAAAGAAATAAAAGCTGAAATAAATCATGCTCTCTACTATTATTCTGACATTTCACATTCTTAAAATAAAGTGTTGATCCTAACTGACCTAAGACAGGGAATTTTTACTAGGATTAAATGTCAGGAAGTAGTTTAAATGTATTTGGCTAAGGTGTATGTACACTTCCGACTTCAACTGTAATTCCTGGTTCAAATATACTTTAAAAGTAAACTTAGGATAAGTGAACTCATAGTAAATGTATACGTGCCAGAAACTAACAAACCCAGACAGAGCTCAGACAAACTATAAAGGCTCTACTGACATATTAACAGGGTTGGGGAGTAATCTGAGTACAGAAAACTAACTGTAATCAGTAATGTTACCAGCTAAAATATTTAAATCAGATTACAGATACTTTAGAAAAACTAGATGATTACTTCTTGGATTACTTTTAAATTCAGAAAGGATGTTAGTGAAAAAATACATTATGACACCTTTCTGTTTCTGAACGACATTCAATTTGGCATATAAAAAATGTGCTAGTTAAAGTTTGTTCCACCTGAGCGAGTCTGACCCCAAGTCAGAGACCACTATGATGACACACCAAATGCGTTTGATGGATCAGTTTTGTCTTCTTCTAATACCTCTTAAGGGGAAAGTAATCCAAAAGTGACATTACTGATTATAATTTTGGAGAGGTTACTAGTAACTAACGGATTACATTTAAAAAGTAACCTACCCAACCCTGCTTGTTCATTCATAAGGCCTTGGCTCATATTTAACGGTCTTCCGACATCAGATGTGCTCTGATTCAACACAGTTTCATAAGCACAAAGACAAACAAACAAACAAGCAATAAAACAAAGACACAGCTTGGTCTGCAAGCCCCTTAGTTCATAAATATGTATCCGCCGCTCAGGCAGACCTAAGTCTTCAATCACAGAGGATATTGGGTAATCTGCGCCGTTTGAAGAAACCGACTTCTGAAGCGGAGGGCTATGGGGAAATTACACATGCCTCTTAGTGCGTGTCTGTGTGTCTTCAACAACAACTTAATATTCTACTAATACTACGCAGTGAAGCATATTTTAAACATGACGATCAGACCTGATCAGACCATTAGCTGCAGCCAAGCTTGTGGCACATACAGTACATTATTGACATTTCTACCAGTCTGTGTGTGTCTACATAAGTAACTAAGTAAGAAAATCATAAATAATAACATCCTAAATATAGAGAAATGTAAACTTGTCATTGCGTGGGCAAAAAAAGATTTGAAGCTAAACCTTGACATTGGACAGAATCACTTTCTTTAACGTGACATTACACATAGTCGGGTTGTAGCTAAAACTTGGCATCTGGTTTGTGAGGGGATCTGTGATGCTTCGCCTCAGCCTAGTGGGGATTTGGCAGCTGTAGTTCTATGGACATTGCACTGTTATCGGTTCACTCTTTAGTGGGCCTGCTAGGGGCGCAGAGATCAGGCGGGCCAGCCAGAAAACACATTGTGCTTCCTCCATACCACTGAGGAAAAACACACTGAACTCACTTACAACAACTCCCTGGGAGTAGTGATGACCACCACCACACCAACATGTCTTCTCCCTTAATCCACACGCTATGGTTCGAAATGTGTTTACCCCTGCTCTTTAGGGGGTGACCAAAGCTAGGGTGAGCAGGGCTACACCAAGCCACTGAGCAGGCCCTCGTAAATAGCATGCTTGCTGTTGATAACATACCAGAGTGGTGGAGCCCCATAATCTGTGTGGGGAAAAACACAGGCCGACAAAGCTTAACTCCACTAGCAAACAAGGCAATCTGCTGCAACCAGCCTGAGACTGTCCATCATCTCCTCCCCAGCTGAGGACCCAGAGCAGGTCCACCAGGCCTGGGGAGAGGCGTGGGCTCTGCTCTAGTCCTTTAATACAGTTGTGGAATTTGGATCCCCCTACACCCCAGTGACTGTTTTAACAGCTGATACCACGTGCCGGCTACGCTGTCCGGGAAATAATATTATGAGAAACTATACTTTTCAGTGGATAATATTAGCTTAAAACCCCCATATTTTCTCCATGTGCAGTCAAGCAATGTAGATCTAATTAGGACTAGGAGGTGTTGGGGCGGATGCCACATAATGGTCGTAGAGTATCCATTTCAAACCTAGTCATCCTGCAGGGCCTGATTGACGGACAGTATGAAAGGCAACAAGGGTTGTTATTTCACAAGTAAATAAGGTTCTTCATAAAAGCCTTAGATGACACAGAACCTCATTCATATTCGGATCACGCCTTGATAGCTCATAAGATGAATGGGCATTCATACTGTCACGCCCTGGCTCTGGGGACTATGTTATGTTGAGCCAGGGTGTGTAAGTCTATGTTTGTATATCTATGTTGGCCTGAGTGACTCCCAATCAGAGGCAACGAGTGTCAGCTGGTTGTCTCTGATTGGGAGCCATATTTAACTGTCGGTCTTTTCACTTTGTGTTTGTGGTTTCTTGTTCCGTGTTGGTTTGTTTATGTAACCAAGGACGTCACGTTTTGATCGTGTGATCATTCGTATAATAAATATGTTTGCTTTCAACGCTGCGCCTTGGTCCGCTTCCTGTAACGATCGTGACAGAAGAAACCACCATAACAGGACCAAGCAGCGTGAAGAAGAGAGAGGATGGACTTGGGAGCAGTGGAGTAGGAGTCTCGACTGGGCCAAGCCAAGAGAAGAGGAGAGAGGTTGGACTTTGGAGCAGTGGGGTGAGAGTCTGGCGAGAACGATGGAGGCCTGGCCCACGGGGAGGAGAGACCCCCAGAACATTTTTAGGGGGGGGCTCACGACGTCGGGGCAGCAGGAGGCCGCGATAGAGCGGTCCAGCGGGTTGGCAGAGGAGGCCGCCAGGTTACGGGAGTCACTGGTCACCAGGGGGAAGGAGGTTGTAGAGGCACGGCGAGAGGTACTGGCGTGTGTTGCCAGTCCGGTCCGGCCTGTTCCTGATCCCCACGTAGGGCCAGTGGTGTGTGTTCCCAGTACGGGCCGGCCTGTTCCTGCCACTCCCACCAAGTCTGTGGTGCGCGTCGCCAGCCCAGTCCGGCCCATCCAAGCTCCCCGCACCAAGTCGGTGGTGCGCGTCACCAGCCCTGTCCGGCCCGTTCCTGCTCTCCGCACCAAGTCTGTGGTGCGCGTCGCCAGCCCAGTCCGGCCCATTCCTGCTCCCCGCATCAAGTCTGTGGTGCGTTTCGTCAGCCCTGTCCGGCCCGTTCCTGCTCTCCGCACCAAGTCGGTGGTGCGCGTCGCCAGCCCAGTCCGGCCCATCCAAGCTCCCCGCACCAAGTCAGTGGTGCGCGTCGTCAGCCCGGTCCGGCCCATCCAAGCTCCCCGCACCAAGTCAGTGGTGCGCGTCGTCAGCCCGGTCCGGCTCATTCCTGCTCCCTGCACCAAGTCAGGGGTGCGCTTCGTCAGCCCGGTCCGGCCCGTTCCTGCTCCCCGCACCAAGTCAGTGGTGTGCTTCGTCAGCCCAGTCCGGCCTGTCCCTGCT